CTTTTCAACATGTGTGGCAAGCTGATGCCCGTCTTAACAAAAGGTGGCAAAGTCGAACCTTGATTTAAGGCCCCGACGCTTTTCAGGAGGAAAAGGTTTTGGTAACACTTACACTTTCCACCTGGGTAAATTCCAATTCCAAATTAATTGAATTGATGGTTCGCTCTATTTTAACACTCCTTTGCATAGTGTCTGGCCTTCCCAGCACGCATGGCATGCACCTGGCGTGGCCTCTCTTTGAGCCTTTGTCGTTCGATTGGCCCTTGTTTTTCAGGGCCTTTCCCCGAGGTTGTTTTGCCTTCTGAACTGTTCCAGAAACTTCAGTTTTCGTTTGTTGTTGCCCTTATGCGTTCCCTTTTCCATCCTGTCCTGCGCTGCTGTTGCCGCCTTGCTTGGCTTTGTCGCGGCAGTTTCCAAGGTCATCGGCTTCCATGGGTGTAGCGTCATTGCTCGATGCTGTTCTGGCAACAGTTCCGGCTGTTTGAACGGCGTTCCGGCTGTAGCCGCTGTATGCTTCTGTTTTCGAAGTGGTTAGAAGTCTTGATGTTCAGTGCAGTTGGGGCAGTGCATCCGACATGCGTCTTCTAGCAGTGCATTCGCATGAGTACTGAGTACTGATGTCCTGGGAGACGGTCCCTCGTACTCGTTGATGAGGGCCAGAGTGTGGAAACTGCTCTGACACCGTCCTCCCTTTTGCAAACTGTATCCGTGACAGCCAGTGCTGTGGCGCTGGTTGCAGGCTGCAGCTCCCGGAATAGGATTTGCCATGCCTCAAAACCATTCTCTTTTTGCATGCGTGATCAGCTTGCAAATCTTTTTTCTCCCAGGAGGCTGTAGAGTCGCATGCCCCCCCCTTTGGTCTTGTCCAGCATGCCCTTGAAATCATAGCGTGCTCCACTTCCCATGCATCCAGTGGGAAAAATACACTTCAGAGGAGCAGGGTGTTGCCAGTAGATCTACTAGAGTTCAACAATTCTCAAAGCTTCCGAGCAAAAAACTAATTGCGCAACTTCTCCTGAGGTGATTCAGTGCTTCAACCATCAAGATCTCCTTTAAGTTCGGGCTACGCTGCCCTGCTTTCCCTTCGTGGAAAGTCAGTGATGCTCGGACGGCTTTGGAACCTCTCAGCCACCTGATTCTGCCAAAATACTTCTCTGTCTCGATGCAAGGGGTGTAGTAGACAATGCGGTTGGGCTGAAAGTATTGGGTCTCCTGGATCGCGGGTGCTCCTGCCCCTCCGACTCGACTTTCAAGCAACCAACTTGCGGACATGTGTGAGCGCTCCTCGCAGCCTTTCCATGGGTGGGGGTGCTGGAGGGTAGAAGTGAGAAGTCACGAAGTACAAGTAGTTCCCGGGCAAGCCGGCGGTGGAAGTTTCCTAAAAGAAGAAATTGACCTATAGGAGTGTCCACGTTCTCTCCAACATGCGCGTCCTCCAGTCAAACGCACGCACTAGAAAGTCGCCAGTTCTCACCATCCAGCTCCACAGATACTCCGCGTACTAAAGTTGTACTACAAAGTCGCCAATTCTCAGCTTCCAGCTCTACAGATTGCTCCGCGTACTAAAGTTGTACTAGAAAGTCGCCAGTTCTCATCATCCAGCTCCACAGATACTCCGCGTAGTAAAGTTGTACTACAAAGTCGCCAGTTCTCCTTGTCCAGCTCGCCAGATACTCCGTGTACTAAAGTTGTACTACGAAGTCGCCAGTTCTCAGCTTCTAGCTGCACAGATTGCTCCGCGTACTGAAGATACTGAAGTTGTACCACAAAGTCGCCAGTTCTTATCGTCCAGATTGCCAGATACTCCGCGTACTAAAGTTGTACTACAATGTCGCCAGTTCTCAGCGTCCAGCTCTACAGATTGCTCCGCGTACTAAAGTTGTACTAGAAAGCGCCAGTTCTCAGCTTCCAGCTCTACGGATTGCTCCGCGTACTAGAGTTGTACTAGAAAGTCGCCAGTTCTCAGCTTCCAGCTCTACAGATTGCTCCGCGTACTAAAGTTGTACTAGGAAAGTCGCCAGTTCTCAGCTTCCAGCTCCACAGATACTCCGCGTACTAAAGTTGCACTACAAAGTCGCCAGTTCTCAGCTTCTAGCTGCACAGATTGCTCCGCGTACTCAAGTTGTACTACAAAGTCGCCAGTTCTCAGCTTCCAGCCCACAGGTACTCCGCGTACTAAAGTTGTACTACAAAGTCGCCAGTTCTCATCGTCCAGCTCGCCAGATACTCCGCGTACTAAAGTTGTACTACAAAGTCGCCAGTTCTCAGCTTCCAGCTCCCCAGATGCTGTGCCTGCCACGAAATCTGCACATGGAGGTTCACAAAGTGCTGTGCCTGCCACGAAATCTGCACATGGAGGTTCACAAAGTGCTGTGCCTGCCACGAAATCTGCACCTGGAGGTTCACAAAGTGCTGCACCTGCCACGAAATCTGCACATGGAGGTTCACAAAGTGCTGCGCTTGCCACGACATCTGTACATGGAGGTTCACAAAGTGCTGTGCCTGCCACGAAATCTGCACATGGAGGTTCACAAAGTGCTGCGCCTGCCACGAAATCTGCACATGGAGGTTCACAAA